CGCTCATCTCAGACCTGTTCAACGGCTTCCTAGGGTACTTGAAATAAATAACTACATGCCTTGCAGGGCCCGCACCTGTCTCTCCAGCCTCCCCTGAACAAGGCTCACTTTCCCCGCAGCAGCCACAGGGACCAGTTTCTGGAATGTGCTGTGCCTCCTCTGAACACTTGGCCTCAGCCCATCATACATACCTGGTGAATTCCGATCCATCCTAGGATCTCAGCTCCAATGTCACTTCCTTGGGGAAGCCCTTCAGGTGCCTGATATACGCCCTCATAGAAATCACAGCCCTTTCCTTCCAAGCACTCCTCTCAGGGAGTAATTAAACACGCACTAGTGTGATGGTTACTGCCCTCCTCCTCCACCAGACCACACATTTTGTTTAGGCCTCCAATCAAGCCCAGCACCCAGACATACAATTTGCTGAATAAATTAACTGCTCCAGAGCCCGTCACACTGCACATACCGCTGAGCACGTCCGGACTGATGTAGGCGGGGCTCCCCCTCTGGTCCTTCAGAAGGTCCCCCTCGCTCACGAGATGCTTCCCGAGGCAGAAGTTGGTGATAGTTATCCGATGTGTCCTGGGAAAGGAAGGGGGAATGGACAAGCCTCGGTGTCTGTACCCACAGGTGCCAGACACGAGTGGGGCAGCCCAACTGGCCAGCCTACGATCTTGAACAAAAGGAGCTGGGTTTGTCCTGAAAGGGTAAACCAGCAGTCCCCCCGTCATCCCCTCATCCAGGGAGCAAAGGTATGGTGCCCACGTCCTCTTCTGCTCCCCTGACCCTCACTGCCTTCCCAGCAGCCCTCTGCCACAGCCCACACTGGCCACAGGCGGTCACTCCTGGTGCCTGCTCTGAGCTGTCACACCTGTCCAACTGAGGGTTTCAGGGATGCTCCCTGAACCTGCCACCCTGGTCGAGTCTCGGGATATGGCTGAGGGCTTAGAACATCTTTCAGAGATTGCCCAAAAAAACACACATAATATTCTAGATTGGGAGTGACCTGAAGATTTAGTTCAAGCCCCTCATTTACACACGAGAAAAAAGGAGTCCAGCGGAGTTGAGTGACTTAAAAAAACGCCCCTATGACATCATAAAGTGATTGGCAGGTCTCAGGCCTCCTCTGTGACTGCACTTTTCACCTCACTGTTGCTTATTTCCCACAACAACCTGCAGACAAGGAAGCTGGGAGAAGTTGGGTCAAGTTCCCTGGGAAGGGAGGGGGTTTAAATTCCAAGTCTAGCACACAAAGTTCCCCAGGGTGCCGCAGCTGGTCCTCATCCCTGGAATCCTGGTCCTGACGCGCACAGTTTCCACAACTCCTGGTGCTCCACTGCCTGAGAAAGACGAAGGAGTGTGGAAGCTGGGCCTCCACTGTGCCCTCCAGACGGAGACAAGGCCCTACTGACACAGCCCATTGCTTCCAGGGACCTCGGGTCTTTCCAGGAGGCCACACCCCTGGAGCTGGCATCTGACCAGCTGCAGCACAGGGGCTGAGAGGAGGACCCTGAGTCATCCAGCACTCACCCGACCCTACAGACCCCTAGAGGCCAAGGAAGGAGGCGGGTGGCAGCAGAGTCATCACAGCCTAAGAGTGACACCACACCCGGCCTTAGTCACCCTGTATCTTTCCAAAACCCCAGCTGCAGGCCAGCGCATGCATGGGAGATGCTGGCATTGGAAGGATGGCCTGGGCACTTTTCTGGGCACTTCAAGGATAGCATTACCTCTGTCAGCATGTGGAACTAGTCGACAAAACAAGAGCCCCTGCTCTTATGAACCAAGAGAGCCTTAGCCATCCTGCCCTCTTTATGGCAGGGGGCGCTCACACTGGTGCAGATGCAGGGGCTACTGTGTGGCAGTGAGCCTCATCACTGAAGCTTGCCCATCCATGCCAGGGCCCACCAGCCTGTGAGCAGTTAGCTGCTGGGGCCACATGGTGTGTGGGCTACAGTCTGACTTCTCCCTACTGCACACTTGTTCCCTCACGTTTTCTGTTGAGGGGAGAAATTCATGAGGGAGAAAAACAAAGGAGGGGGGTGTTGGGTACTAGTCCATTGGCCCTTCTCAGAAGCACAGGTCCCGGGTTCAGTTTGTTTAGACAGACAGTGAATTGGCTCACTCAGGAAGGATGAGCGGGACTAGGAAGGTGAAGACCGGAGGGAAGACAGCCCCAGGAAAAAGACATGGCCCCTGTGGAGCTATGAGGCGGGAGAGACTGTGACACACTTCAAGGAACCGAGAGGGTGACAGTGAGACCAGAGGAGGTGAGGAAGGTGAGATAATAACTAAGACCAAATAAAAGTTGTGCCTCCCATGTGCTGGCGCCGTTCCCAACTTTACAGGCATTAACCCCTTCCACCTGCACAGTGATCCTTCGAGGGAGGTACCATTGTTATCTTCATTGTATAGACTGGGCAGCAGAAGCCCGGAGAAGCAAAGGAACACTACTAGTAAGGAGGTGAGCAGCAGTGTGGCCCTGAGCCTGTGCCATTACCTGCCCACTCTTCTACCAGGTGGGGACTTTTGGCAGTTTGTGCCTGAGCATAGGTAAGGGAACAAGACAGACCTGGGTCTGAATCCTGGTTTGACCACTTATTTGTTGTTAGCTGCCAGCGAGTCGGCTGAGGCTCATGGTGGCTTTATGTGTAAGAGAACAAAATGCTGCCCAGCCCTGCGCCATCCTCATGATTGCTGGCATGATATGAAGTGCCACAACACACCCCAAAAGCCTCTAGGGGGTGGCAAGGGCTAGGGGGGGACTTTCTCACCTACTGATCAGTGTAGCCAGCACTTAGTCAGGCTTTCTGTGTGCCAGGTTTGCCTAAGAGCTTTACCCAGCAGCCACCCCCGCCCCCCGCCTTCCTGACCCACCTGGGTGACCTCCAGAAAACCCTGGGGCTCCCACTGCTGGGCCCTGGTGGAAAGCACAGCAAGAAGCATCTCTGAGAAGATGGTCTTTGCTACTATCGGGAAGAGCCCACTTTGTCAGAACTAACAAAGCTGGGTGACTCGTGAGGTCACCCTCCAGTCAGGCCAGGCCTGAAAGACACTGGAATGCATTTGCAGGCTGGGTGCAGGTGACTGAGCTGAGGCCAGACCGCATTCAAGCATGTGAACGCAGAGAGCACATAGCAGGGTCACATGAAGGAGGTAACGTGACAAGGAGTTTGTTTGTTCTTGACAATGCTCAAGCACCTGCAGTGTGGCTAGAAGCTTCCTGGAATTTAACACTTGCTGTCTTCATCTGGAGGAGCAGGACGCTGGCTTGGATCTGCTAACCCCAGTGTCAGGTAGGAATGGGCCAGGCCAGGTAGGCACAGAAGGGTTGTTTAGGCCAAGCCAGCGCCAGACTCCCCTGGAGGCCCTCGGCATAAGCAGGGGATGCTCTGGCATACTCGGGGAGGTCCTGGGCAGACAGATGGATGAGGCTCGGTTTGCTTTGGAGGAAATAACCAACCTGGGGAGTCCAGGGGGCACAGAGAGCTGTCAGGCCTGCTCCTGGGATGGGTGGAAGTAGGAGTCTACTCTTGGATGCCATTTTGCCTCCTCTTGTCCTCGTCAATCAGCATCACTGAAGTACTGAAAGCGAATGCTTACTGAGCACTTAGTGAGTGCAGGCCCTGCCCAAGTGGTCCAGGTGGGCAGTTTCCACCTAATCCCAACGACATCCCACAGGGAGAGTTTATCACTGCCCCATCTCACAGTGATGCAACAAGGCTCAGAGAAGTGAAGTGACGTGCCCATGGTCACATAGCTAGTGTGGTGGAGTAGGATCCAAGCCCAGGTCTGTCTGACCCCAGAGCCTGCACTGCTGGGCTGACCCCTGCTGGGGGCCCAGATGTGTCCCCGAGCAAGGTCCCATCAAAGCTGACTCATCCCTTATCTTGCACTTCAGACTCTGCCTCATCTAGAAAGCCACAAATTCACCCCATCTGAGGGAGTTGTAGGGGAGGGCCGCTGTGGGCTCGGATCCTTTCTAGGAAGCTCACAATGTGACCAGAAGGAGGTGCTCCAAGAGAAGGTAGGTACCTGCCTGATGGGCGTGTGTGTGTGTAGGGGGAGCCATCTGGCGCCATCTAAGCCTCTACACTGACATGTTGTTTGTAGGGGCTGGGAGAGTCTAGCTCAGAGAGGCCAGGGAAAGGCTTCCTCGCACCCTCTTAGGGGAGGGATCAGTGAGGAAGGGCACCTGTCTCTCCATAGAGGAGAAAGCCAGCTGCCATGTCCTGGCCTCAGTCAGCTGGCAGAGAAGTAGAGAGGACGGCAGGAAGGGAAGCTCCATAAGGGGCCTCAAGTGGAGAAGAGGGTCAGCTTGGAGGCTCAGTGTGTGACATGGTGGAGGTGGAATTCCCCAGGAGCTGCATCCAAGACGCTCCAGTGCCCTTCAGCTATCTCGGGGAATTCTGCTGGCAAAGGGCTTGGTGCAAAACAAAGGCCAGTCTGTCCTCTGCATTCCAAATGGAAACATCGACTCTAGCACTCCACACAGGCCTGCCCTGTCAGATGCCATTGAAGTCTGACTGGTGGCTCTGGGCAGTTGGGGCAGGAAGGCTGGCAAAGGGTCTCGGTCCAGGATCACACCCACGTCAAGATGTGGACTCCTGCAGCACTGAGGCTCCCACATCATCTGCCCCGAACACAGGACTGCTCAAGCCTCTGGTTGGGAAGTTCCCACAGAGCAGATACACTGTGTGTTTCCTTCCCCACTGCAGCTGGGCATGCTCCCTGCATGAGGTCTCTGAGGTGAGACACTGAGAGAAGGACCAAAAAAAAACCAAACAAACCCACTGCCGTTGAGTTGATTCTGACTCACAGCGACCCTACAGGATAGAGTAGAACTGCCCCACAGAGTTTCCAAGGAGTGGCTGGTGGATTCGAACTGCCAACCTTTTAGTTAGCAGCTTGAGCTCTTAACCACTGTGCAACCAGGGCTCGGAGAGAAGGACAGCTCAGAGGAAAGGCTATGGTGGGCTCAGGAGTCGGCTTCCTGGCTCCAGTTCCCGCCCTGCCCTTCCTTGCTGTGTGATCCTGGGCATGTGACTTAATCTCTTGCTAAGCCTCAATTTCCTTATCCTTAAAACAGGGGGAATATTAGCACCTAACTCCTGGCCCTATGATAGGATTTAACGAGATAAGAAGATAATCCCAAGGAAAGCAGTTAGCCCAATGTCTGGCAGATAGTATCAGATCACTAATTGCTCGCTGGTGTTATCATATCCTTCTCAGAAGGGCAGCGCACTGGCAGAGACCCTGGAAAGCAACCATCTCTGGGGATGGGAGTGAGAGGTGCCACGTCATGACAACAGATCCTGAGTGTACATGCTGGTGTGGGCGGAGCTTTCAGCTCAACTCTCTGACCCTCTGCCTGTGGGGTGAGGCAGGTGAGCTCGGGAAACGTGCCTGGAACTCTTCAGGGCTGAGCAGCAGGGCCCAGTGTGCCTGCTTCTTTGCTGCAGAGGACCCTGGAGTCTCTCCCACAGAGAACAACACGGTCAGATCCAAGGCCTCCTGAAGCTTGGCAGCACCCCCTGCTCTGCCACTACCACCCAAGTTGGCTGGATGGCGCCCAGTTCCCTGGGAGTCCCAGACCCCCAGTCTCTTTCTGACAGAAGGGGCAAGGGCAGCGAGGGATGAAGGGAGGGAGAAGTGCGTCAGCAGGATCGGTCGAGTGAGTCACTCTTAAGCTATGGCCCTTTGGGCTACCACAGTGTTTTTCTCCTTTTCTAGGAACTTGGTATGCAACTTGCCTACCCAAAAAGCAAAGAGGAAGGAGAAAGAACCCACAGCAAACCTCACATAACCTCAAAAGGGGATTTCAGATTTCAATCCTTTCCTTTTTTCCAAAGCAGGGTGAACTTGTCACTGCAGCTGCCTCGCAAACACTTCTCTGCTTCCTTCCCTGCAAGCTCTCCGTTCTCTGCCGAGAAGGCCTCCAGCTTATCTGCCTGCCTCTCCAGTTAAGGTGACGCTTGACAGGGTGGGCAGGAAGGGGCTGGAGCAACTCCAGGCCGAACCTCGACCTAGAGACCCCTGACCTAGCGCAGGTGAAAGCGAGGCCCTGGGAAGGGTGGGGTATGCCTGGGGACACACAGCAGGTTCTGAGTGGTCAGTTCAAGTCTCTGCCCCATACCACCCTGCCCTCTTCCAGAGTGTTCATGACGCAAGTGAATGGTGGCCAGTCCTCTGCCCCAAGACTCAAAAAGGAAGATCAGTAGATTAAAGAAATGCAGCCAAGATTTGAGGTCTGAATGAGGTACAGCATTCTGTAATCTGAGGACGACACACACAGCAGAGCTGATACAGTGGCACTGGCATTACTCGAGAGGTATGACCTCCGGTTACATTCCCAAGACCTAGGGGGCTTGGAGAAGTGACAGCCAAAGCAAAGCACCAATGAGAGAAAGAGGTCTGGAATGCTGGTGGGGTTAGCAGCATACCCCCAACTCCAGCCCCCAGGATGCTCACTTAGAGTCAGCGAATGGCTGTCGTGAAAGGCCCTGGGGGGCCCTCCAGCCCAGCTGGGAGTACATGGGCTCTGCAGCCAGACGGACTTAGGCGCTCAAAAAATATGCTCTTTCATGAATAGTGAGCCTGTAGCCCAGAGCAGGATGGTGACTGGCCCGAGGTCCCAGGGGGCCAGGGGCAGGGCCAGGACCCAGGTCTCCCAACAGTGAGACCATCTACTCTCCACCACTCAGGGTGGGCCGGTCAGCATTCGCAACACCTGACCTCCTCTTACGATTCAGAGCTGGTCTGGTGGGCACTGCTGGGCCCTCTCCTCAGGCGTCCTCGTAGGCAGCAGGACTCATGCCCTGAGGGGAGTGAGCATATGGGTCCCATCCTCCTGCCTGTCGGTCACAGGGCCATTTGGCCTAGCACTGGGGTGCACTGATGGTGGGCCAGGCCCTGCTAGGCAGTGCCACATCCACTAACTTGCATCTCAAGCCAAGCTTACCAGGGAGGTCTGATCACCTCCACTGTCACAGATGAGGAAATGGAAGCTCAGAGAAGTACTGGTGCCACAGTTGGCTCTAACACACGTCTGCTGAATTAATTAAATAACTGGTAAATAACCAAACAAGTAAATCTCATGGTCTCAGAGATAACTAAGAGGCAGTGCCGGGATGTGACCCAGGTTTGACACTGAAGTCCCTAACTCACTCACTGAACCCAGTCAAGGGTTCATGCAGCCCTGGAATTTCCTGTTGTCCTTCCCTCCTCCCTGCCGGGGAGGTTGTCATTTCATCACTTTCTCAGGCTGGCAGTTTTCCCTCAAGCTTCATGAATCAACACAGATGGTCACTGCACCCCTTAGTGTGCCCCCAGCCCTCCATACAGTGACATCTGTTTTCTGGTCAGGGGGTAGGGGCCTTGGGTGAAAGGTTCTCTGTCTCCAGCCCCGGCACCATGGGGAGATGGTTGAGTCGCTGAGGGCAGCAGCATCCTCCTGATATCATCTCAGATGGTCTGGTACCCCTTCTCCCTTCAGAGGCCCACGTCCCTGCAGCCTTTTCCTGTGACCACTATGGTTTTTGGCTACTCCATGAAGGACTGGATCCACAGTCAACGCCCACGGAAGCAGCAGTCAAGAAATCGAACAATGCATTGCACTGGGCAAGTCTTCTGCAAAAGATCTCTTTAAAGTCTTAAAAAGCAAAGATGTCACTTTAAGGACTAAGGTGTGCCTGACCCAAGCCATGGTATTTTCAATTGCTTCATATGCATGTGAAAGTTAGACAATGAATAAGGAAGACCTAAGAAGAATTGATGTCTCTGAATTATGGTGTTGGCAAAGAATACTGAATACACCATGGACTGCCAGAAGAACAAACAAATCTGTCTTGGAAGAAGTACAGGTAGAATTCGCTTTAGAAGCGAGGATGGCAAGACTTTGTCTCACATACTTTGGACATGTTATGGGGGACCAGTCCCTGGAGAAGGTCATCATGCTTGGTAGAGTAGAGGGTCAGCAAAAACGAGGAAGACTTTCAATGAGATGGACTGACACAGTGGCTGTAACAATGGGCTCAAGCGTAACAATGACTGTGAGGATGGCACAGGACCGGGCAGTGTTTTGTTCTGTTGTACATAGGGTTGCTATGGGTTGGAACCGACTCAACGGCACCTAACAACAACAACATGGGGGACAATACAACCACATTATGGGACAATTACCCACTGTACTGCTTCTGCCGTCAATCCTGGGCCCTCCATTGCCTCAAAGGGGCCCAAATCCTCTGCCTGGTGGGGTGACAGCCTGAGTCAGGGGCCTCAACTAATCTCCCTCTGCCGCTGGTTCACTGAGGATGGTGGGGTGAGCTGCCCACTACCCTTCAGGACTGAGGCACTCTCACCCCTGCTGCTAGGAGCGTTGGCCTCGGACTACGGATCACTCGTAGCTGTGTCCCTCTTGGGAAGTGTCCTTAGCCAGAGGATGCTGCCTTGCCCAAGGCTACATGCCCCTCCCTGAGGACATCTACACTCAGTGACAGGTGGCTGTGGGGTACAGAGGCCAGGCCCCTTGCCTCGATTTGGGGTGTCTCTGATGGGCCTCCAGCTCTGAGCTCTTCCAGCTGAGGCCCTGTTGTGGCTGTGTTATGGTTCAGCCCCTCCCCTGCCCAGTTCTACTCCCTTCTCCCTGAGAGCACTGCTAGTCAGCATCCTGTACACAAATCTCAGGGTGTTTCTAGGGGAACCCAACCGACGACAAGGCCTCACTTTGCTCAGCTGTAATTCCTTCATCCACGTGTCCATTGTTATAGTCATTTACTGAGCTTTTACTGAGCAACCACCAGGAGCCAGGCATGACAAATGCATGGACCAGGAAGAGCAATGAAATCCTTCCTAGGCTTTCCTCTCTGTGACCTCTAAGATGCCCATTCTTAGTAAGCACCATATTCTCATGTGGCAAGGCAGAAGGCAGCATTCCCGTCCCCTAGCCCCTGGGATTCCTGGGAGAAGTGGGCTTTCTGGAGTCAGAGCCCCCCGCCCGGGGACACTGCAGGGCACTGGGTGGTTACAATACGTAACCTGCTCCAGCCCCAAGGTTACACCCCGAAAGAAGAAAAGCAATGTTACCTCTTATTGAGCACCATGTTTCCAAGCTTCAGGTCTCTGTGCACAATATTTTTCTGGAAAACAAAAAGCATATGGTTTGATTTTGATAAAAGTTTCTACAGAAGAATACTGATCAAAATGGGGAAATGCAGAACAGAATTTCAAATTCTCATGGACTCCAGACTTCCTGGAGCCACGGAGGCTGGATGAACCCCTGAAACTAATGCCCTGAGATAACCTTTAAACCTTAAACCAAAAATAACCCCTGAAGTCTTCTTACAACCGAACTACAGTTTAGCTTAACTAGTGAAGAATGTCTGCCTTGAGCATGCTCTTTTAAGAACTATCTATATGGGATCAAACTGACAACAGCAACTCGAAAGGATTAGATAGGAACCTTAGAGGGCAGTGAGTTTATGTTAATGGGGGAGAAACAGCTCAGAAAAGGAGGGTGAGGATGGCTGCACGACTCAAAGAATGTAATCAATGTCACTGAACTGTACTGTAGAAACTGTTGAATTTGTGTATGTTCTGCTGTGTATATTCTCAACAACAAAAATAAAATAAAATATATTAAAAAGCATATGGTTTGTACCATGAAGCAGGGAGCTGCAGTTGGGCCCAGCCCATGCAATCTGGGCTCTCCAGCTGTTTGCAATGGCAGGAAGAGTCATATGGTATGTCTCTTTAGGCTTGTGCCTTGATTCGCAAGCCGCAGACAGATCAGGACAATTTCATCACCTCATCAGTGGTGTAAAATATGAGCCCTGGCAGTCTCTGCCCCACCAAGGGCAACCTTCCAGCTTTCTTCCCTCAGAGCAGCAGCTAATGGGGCAAACCACCCTTGCCCTCCACCTCATCAAACATTCACTGAAAGAAACAAGCCTCTGCCTGGGTTTGGGGTCAGAGATGAACTGTCTCACGATTCTAGTAACCAAGTACTGCAGGCTCAGCCCTCAGAAGCTGTGAGAGCTGTGGCCTCTTCCAGGCATTCTTAACCTTTATTTTGGGGTCTCTGACATCCCCAATCCTACAAAAAGCTCAGATATGTGGTGGCTGCCCCTAGTAGGTATCTCGCAGTCATTGCCTGAGCTGGGTGACTGCAGTTTAACCCCTTGAATGATGGGGAGTCACTGTGCTGGGGTCTAGTTTGCTGCCCATCAGTCCCTTTCCAGGAACAAGGAGTGTGGCCTGCAGCACTGAGCCTTGCCTGTGTACATTTCATCCAGACACTCCCAGCTGCAAAGCACACCTGGGCAAGAACGGAATAGAACCACTTTCCAAGAGCAGCAGCAAGAAGGATGGCTTTCCATGGCACCTGGGGCCAGGAGGCCTCTCCATCATCGGGAGGCACAGGACACCACAGGCCAGAGAGGGAGGGAGTGGTCGAGAGGCAGCACCTCACCTGGTGCAGGGCTTCCACCACTCGTACCACATCGTAGAAGATGACCACCGTCTCCCGCTCGCTGAGCCTCTTCTCCTTGATGACGTAATGCTGCAGGTTGATCAGGTCGGCGGTCTTGTCGCTGAAGTCGTGTGCACAGAGGCAGTCGAGGACGAGGCAGATGCGCTTTTTCATTTTCTTAACCATTCGGCTGGATTCTGTGTCCTCAACAACTTCACAGGTGCGGTCCTGGGAGGCAAGGGAATAGACCAGGGCTTGGCTGTGGGCCCAGCAGGGCCAAGGTCAGGGGCTGGGACTCTCCCCTGGAGTTGGATGCATGACCCATGAGAGAGCCCCGTAGGCAGCATGGATCACAGGGCCGCTCAGCATTGCTGGTTCTCTTTGTGCCTCGTGCCAGGCCCAGCAAGAGGACCAGATCCAGGCTCTGGGCACCCCAGATTGGTAGCCAGAACCCACAGACAGAGAACCAACCCAGTTCCTAAAAGTGAGGGGCTCAGGTTAAGATGTCTGCCTTTTAGGCTTAATGCTTTGATCATAACCGAAAGGATTCAGATCAGGGCTGGGCATTTAAAGCAAAAAGCTGACTCAGCCCAGTGTATAGGGAGCAAACTTCCCCTCATGGCACTCCCAGGTATTCTAGCAATCACCAGTGTAAATGCCCTTTTGCTAATCAATGTCCAAGAGAGTGGAGATGACAAGAGGTCAATTCTGGAAGGTTTCAGGCATTACAGCGTTCTACGTGTCCAAGACAACTGCTTTCCTGGCGGCAGCAGTACTCCTGGGCAGCCACGGAGTGGGGTTTAAGAGTATGGGCTCTGGCGTAAGAGCTGGTCCAGGCCCCAGCTCCACCTCGTCCTAGCTGTGGGATCCGGGGCACTTTGCTTAACCTCTCCAAGTCTCTGGTCCTCATCTGTAAAAGGCAGCTTGCCATCCCTCCCTCACAGGCTGGTGAGAGAATTCAGTGAGACAAGCCACCAAGGGCTTAGGACAGGTCCTGCCAGTCAGGCCTCGGAAAGTGGGTACTGCACCGCAAGCTCTAGGCCCCATTTCCTTCCTGAAAAGGTATTTCAGGTAAGATGGAAAACAGGTACAACTTGGGGACTTTCACCCTACCAGCTCTAGGAGGCCCTCGGTGTCATCCCTAGCAGACTGCCTGTCCCCTCTGGGGAATTCCTGGAGCACTGACTAAGTTTCTCCTTAAGAGCAGAATCCTATCTCTTCTTCTGTCTTCCTCAAGGGGCTAGCACAGTGTCTGGCACACAGATGATACACAAGAAATATTTCTGCTACCCAGGTTCTTTCGTCCAAAATGACATAAACCAAGCCAAGATTCTGAAGTTATCAGAGATGAATTACTAAGAAATCACAATCACCCTCAATCTGATTTCATATTTAAGGAAAACTCTCTCATTTTGGGATTTGCCTCATGATACCTGAAGTTGAGGGGTGCGTATGTAGTGGGGGGGGGGGTGCATTTTCCATTTATTTTATTTCAGGAAATCAAGCTGACAGTTTTCATTACCGTGAAATAACAATGAAGATGACCACGCACCAGCAGCAGTTCAGTACTTTATACACTCTAACTCATCTCCCTGACCACCTTATGATGTAGGTACCATTAGCATTGTCCCCATTTTACAGATGAGCAATCCTGAGGCTCGCAGACCTGAAGTGACTTGCCCAAGGTCACAAAGCCCAAATCCAGGACTGTCTGGCTCCAAAGCCTGTACTCCTTCCACAACCCCATGCCGCCTCTCAAATATCAGGTCCACCTTAGCAAGAGTTGGTCCTGGCCAGTGCATTTGGCCGAGGGCTCTGTGGAAGGTCTGCTGGGACAGCCTAGCTGCCCTCCAGTCTGAGCAGACCTCGCCATCCTTCTGAACCTAATTCTTCATTTCTGGAGACACGATTTCAGTTCTGCTCAAGGATGGCTCTTTCTAGGGTACAAGTTGCTAATGAGCACCTTTCCTAAGGAACCTGGAACATCTCGGCACAGGAGCTCAGGGACACTTGCTGAACAGACGGAAGTGCCTGGGCAGGCAAAAGGACTGCTGGTACCAACACAACTGTGAAGATCTACAGGCGGCCCTCATTGCCCTCCCTTCCGCCCCAGCTTGGCCAATTCCCGACAACACAGCTGGGAAGGCTCGAGCCACTGAAAGAGTCCGTGTGTCTTTAAATGACTTCCTGCTTTCCTCTTTTCTCAGAAAACAGGCTCTTTAAAGAAAGCCTGGCTGATGTAGGATGATGTAGGATGCAAGCCCTGCGTGCTCCTGCCAGGCTGCGATCATCACAGCAGGAGCCCTGCAGGAGAATGGCCCGGCCTGACCTCCACCTGCCCCACCCAGGAAGTCCTGATGCACCAAGCATGGCAGGGACACCAGGGGGCAAGCGTCATGAGCTGCTGAAAGGATGATGTGGTCCTGGCAAGTGCCAGTGAGAGCCAGTCAGATGGGGGTGAAGGGGGCAGGCAGGTGCCTCTGCCACTCACCTGGAAGAGGCCGTGGTGGTGGACCACGCCGTCCTGCGTGTGGAGGAGGGAAAGCAGAGAGTACTCGGTGTGTAGCAGCATCTTGCCTTGCCTTTCCTCTTGGCTTTCTATTCCTTGGTCTCCCCTTTCCTCAAGGGTAAGAATCTTTAGGAAAATACCAAGACAAAAAAACAAAACCCGAAAAGCTACTTTACAAAGCAGAATGATTAGACCAGAAGATGCAGGAGGTTCATTTTCTACCATGCCACACTTGTAAACACACACTCACACACACACACACATACAAGGTGAAACAGTTTTTCTTAATGTGATAGCAACATGATTTATGCACAGATAAAGCTGTTTAAATCAGGAGTTGTTCAGAGCAAAACTGTGTGAACTTGATTGCTTCACGGGAAGAAATGGTGCTACTCTTGTTCACAAGTGATGCAGGTGTGAAGGTGGAGGAGAGGGAGGAACTGGGTTGGCAGTATGGGCGCCTGGGTCCTGAGTCCCCCCCACCCCTCATGCTCCATTTACCTTCAGCTGATAGAAGTCATCCGTGCCATCCTTCCTGGCCAAACACTGCACAATGCTGGGCACTGGTGAATTGCCCAGACGGGGACCTATGGCACAGAGAACAGCCTACCTTTGAGAAGCCCCGTCTACCGGGGCACCATGTCACCTGGTTTTCTGGCCAGCTCTTCTCTTCAGAAGGGCACCAGAGTTCACTCAGTGGACAGACTCCTCCCCACCCCCTCATCTCCTAGTGGAGTGTTCTCATGGTCTCCCCTCCAAAAATGGAGGCAGTGTGTGCAGCCATCTGAGACACACCTGACCCTTGTGTAGGTACATTTCTCACAATGGGTGGCTTTCAACCCTGGAAGCATATTGGAATCTCTGGGGAGCATTTGTTAAAACAAGAAATCCTAGTCTGCAGCCTGGACCTTCTGAATCAGGAACTCTAAGGTTAGGATCCAGGAAATCAGAGCTTTAACAGGTTGCCCTGGTGATTCTGATGGGGCCCACCTGAAGTACCAGCTTTTGGGAACTTCTGTACTTCTGGAGAGGCATACTGCTCGCTGCCCTGGACAGCATTCTGTCTGAGCTTTTGGAGGGTAAATCAGATCACCTCGCAGTGCCGATGCCCTGCTAAAAACCCACCACATTGCTCCACTGCTCTTAATGTACAACTCAGACTCCTCTTCTGTGGTCTCCAAGGCCCTGCATGATTTGGCCCCTGTCCACCTCTCTAACTCCAATACCTTTCCACCCAACTCACCACACTCCAGCTGCACTGGCCTCTTAATTCTTTCAACACATTAAGCCCTTTCCTGCCTCTAGGCCTTTGTACTTGCTGTTCCTTCTGTCTGGAAAGCTTTTCCCCTGCTCTTCACATGGCTGGCTCCTTCTCATCCTTGGGTGTCAGCTCCAATGTCTCTTCCTCATAGAGGCCTTCCTGGTCTATGCTATCTCTAGGCCCTTCTCACTTCTCACTGTCACATCACCTTGTTATTCCCTTCAAGGCACTTATCACCATAGGTGATGACCTTGTCTGTTGTTTACTCTGTTTCTTTTTCCAGCTAGAATCTTAAGTTCCATGAGGGTAGGAACCATGTCTGACTCATTCACCGTGGCATCCCTGGCAAACAGCACAGGTCTCGTGCATAGTAGGCACCAGTAACTATTTGCTGAAGGAACGGAGCTGCAACTAGCCTGTGCCCACAAGTGCAAGATGCTGTCCCAAAGTGAAACCCACACCAGTCTCTCTCTGGCTGCCAGGAGAGTCGGGTTCCTCAGAGCCCACACCACCCAGAACCATGACCACAAGCAATCTGGACCTCCCGGACCTCAGACATCCCGCAGAAAAGCTCTACTGCAAAATTCACAATTTTACAGAATTTCTGTCCAATTTTATAAGAAGTTTGACCGGGTGAGGTGTGGGGGGAGGCTCTACAAAATGCTTTGTGAAATTCATCACACTATCTCAGAATGTGATCAAAGACGTGCCTAGGCTAATGGATCTTGGGGTCTAGTGTAGCTTGCGTGCCTCCTCTGGGCACAGTGGGCATCCTGGGAGCACATACAGGACTCTCTGGGGGAAGAAAGAGACAGAGGGCAGCTCTCAGCTGAGACTGATCTAAGGCCGGTGTGACGACAGCAAAGATGACAAGCTTTGGTACAGAATGACCTAAGGCTCCTGGATCTCCCACTGATAAAGATATGCTCCACTGAAAGCAGTGAAGGTAGGGGCCAGGCCCACACTATTGTGGGTGCAGCACCTCACTCTGGACTTCTGGAGGTCAGACTGTGCCAGCCAGCATGCTCTGCCCCTGCCTCAGCACACCACTCACCCAACGGGCAGAGGCTTACCAAGGATGAACGGTCCAGCTCTCTTTGCATTACTTCCGGATATGCCACTTCCTAGAGCCTTCGCCCTGGCCGACGTTTCCCCAGCTCCTCTGTCTGATGCTCTCCGCTTCATTCTCGGCTCTAGACAAGACAAAAAGGCCCCTTCTCACTGAGTAAGTTTTCTTATGCTAACCAGCCTGGCGCTCCAAGTCTCTGACTTGGGGATGCGTCACACAGCTGCTGCTGCTGTTTCCGCCGCCGCCTCCTCCCCCTCCCGGAGGAGCACGATAGTTCCTACTGGGAAAGAACCAACGCTCCCTGACTTGAGATTAATTAGGGGCTAAGGGTGCATGTAACTCCAAGGCAGCATATACTGGCTACAAAGGTGGGGAGCCAGCCTGCCCGAAAGGTGCCTGTCAAATGCAGTGAGAAGGACGCTGGGCTTTGTGCAGATGCTAAAGCCAAACAGGAGCCCGGACAGACAACCGGAGACAGAGAGAAAAGCCAGCTCTGTGTGTACCTGAGCCCAGCGTTCCCAAAGTGAGGCCTTCCCTCTACCTATAGCCAAAAGACCTGAGGTGCCAACTGCTGGGCCCCCACTTCATCTCTACGGAGCCCATCTCTGCAGAGTGGTAGTGAGTGGGGTCTGGGAAATGGCATGTTACACACAAAGCCTGGGTAATTCTTTTTTTTTTTAATTGTTGTAGTTTAAATAAAGTTTAGATTTCAAGTTAATCTCCCATACAAACATTTATACATACATTGTTACGTGACCCTAATTGCTATCCCCATACTGTGACAGCACACTCTTCCTTTCCACACCTGATTCCCCATGTCCATTCAACCAGCTCCTAACCCTCTCTGCCTTCCCATCTCATCTCCGGACAGAAGCTGCCCATTTAGTCTCTTGTATCTA